CCAAAACCATTTCATCGTTGATTCTCAGTATGACAATATAGTGACTCCATTAGGGACTGAGTTAAGCCAATTTTATATGTTTATGTCCTTGATTGTTATTTATTTTTCAGCAATTAATTATTTTATTTGCATTCTTTATTTCATACTTTTATTCATGTTTGTTTATTATAATTCATTTAATTCAATTTTAATATTTTACATGTTGGTTTGGATATGCATGCATGTTATTTATTTGAGTTTCACATAAATAACTGCAAAATCCATAAAACCTCTGGACTCGAAATCATCCATTCTAAAGATAGAAAGAAAGATTCGGTGGAAAGAATGGCTTATGTCTATTGATGCTCACTTGAACTTTTGCTCAGATTAAACCCACCGTATATGCTTGGTTATATGGATTATATCTCTAAACCAGGTGCATAAGGTTAAATGGCTAGATTATTTCATTGGTAATTTGGATGATCCAAGAGCTTGAAAAATCTCTATGGATGAACAAACCAAGCCTAAACCTTTATGAGTTATATTCAATCTAATAGAACGGACCTTTTAGGACATGACTTAATAACATGTCATTTACATACGTGCTCTCACTTTATATATTGTGTTCTTATTATATCTTTATCGACCCTTATAGAAAATGTGAGATGATAGAGCATATAACCATCATGGATATGAAGGTTGGGTTATAGTAGGATTAATGGAATGTAAGGGATTGCTTGTTGACTAGATTCAAGTTTTAATTACCTGAACATGAACATGTGAAGCTGGATGAAAGATCTCTGGGTGTGAATCAGTTATTAGATTGTTGGAAAAGATTTTTTTTCATAACCAATCTAATTTTGAGAAACATTATGGTGATATCGTGTAATTGCTTACAACTAAGATTCAATAATCATGCTTTCAAGCTTTAATAGGATTTTAGGATCCTGAATGGAAATGCTTCACTTTTGACAGATATTACTCCCATTTTATAAGGATATGATGCCTTTATAGACTTCCCCAAATCTGATAAAGTGTACTTTTATAATTTTAGAAATAGACTTCTTTTAATTTTACTTAGCAAGCTAAAAAAATATAATAGAAACCATTTATATTATATCTAATCGTAATAAAAACTATTATAGGTGTGTTTTAGATCAACAACATCACATTGGTTAAAAAGAATAGTCAAATTTATTATCATAGCAAGAAGTTCATGAATTTCGACACTTATAGCCTATTAAATGTTCTTGTCTAACTAGAAAATTTTCAACACAAGTTATTACATCCTTGTAAGAAAAAAAATCCTTACAGGATAGAAAATTTATAAGTTAAAAGAAAGTAAATAACAAAATTTATATAGCTTATTATGATCTATATCTTGCTTTCACGAACTTTGACTCACTTAAAATGTTTATCCCAACATAGAAAAATACCTCTAGACTCTTCTGGTATAATTTAAGCTCAATCCAACAATTTAATTTGAAGTTATGCTAAATAGATTAAAACTGGATGGTATAAAATTTTACATTGAATTTAATTTGAAGTTATGCTAAATAGATTTAAACTGGATGGTACAAAATTTTACATCGAAATCTGAATTTGACCTTACTTGGGTCGTATCAATCCAGTTTCACAAACTCTTAACTTATCATAGTCAAGTACTCCATTACATATTAATACCTTAAATTTATTATGTGAATGGATATAGCAAACAGATTTTGAGGTATAAAGATTATTATCTTTAAAGTATTAATCGTTCCAGCTCTATTTGCTGTAAGGTTAAAGCAATATATATTTAGGATATAAGAAAGTCTTAAATTTATAAAATAATTAACATAATCAAAGAGTTTGTAGAAAAAAATAAGAAAAAAATAATATTTTTTTTAATTGATTTCTTATCATATCAAATTGATATTTATAAGAAAAATAACATCCTTTTAGACTAAAATGTCTAGATAATTTAAAAAGTACATCTCTTTAGAGTGTTTGTAGAATTTGAAAGAGGCATATTTTTAGATCAAAATGTTTGTATACTTTAAAAAGCTACTTTTTATCCAAATTAAATGAATAACTTGTTATGAGTGTCATGCATAATTAATTCATTCTAAAAATAAAAAATTATTTATTTTATATAATACAAATTACTGAATTGCCAACACACACATACACACGTATAAATTTTGAGTTTCCATTCAAGTCTTTCTTCCAACATCTAAATATATTGATTCAAGGTGGGCTGATGTTCTCTTTGTTTATCCACATAATATAAAATCTATTTCTATAACATGTTAAACACACAATACCATATATCATGCACATCTACTGGGCCGTAAATATTGAAACTCCAGTTCATACCCCCACACACCATGTAAATTCATTCTTAAAAATATATGCACTGACAATTTCATATACGCATCGATCATGCACGTTAAAACCTTCACCCAGAGACCAAGTTGCTGCAGACTTCTTCCTATCCTACTGTTTTACCATTTCTTTAGGATACCAAACTAACCAAAACACAGAAAGGAAGGCATCATTTTTTTACCCTTTTTTTGAAAGGAAGGCATCATTTTTTTACCCTTTTAAAAAAAAAAAACGAGCATAGGTACAGACTAATAACATCAACTCTTCTATCTCGAAAGCTTTTTCATGAAGAACAAAAAGGGTTGGCAGGCCTTTAACACAAATAATCATATGTGAAGCAAAAGGAATGAAAGGTGGTAAGCACAGATCTCATGCTTTTTAATTAGTAGGAAGATACCTCAATGCTGTGGAAGTAAATCCATGCCAAAACTGAAGCAGAGGAAACAGAACCAACAACAGGTTTCTCTCTAAACTAAGAAGTCTCATGGCTATTTATCACATTCAATGAGATCGTATAGGGAAGAAAAAGAAAAGGAAAAAGAAGAAAATGAACCACATAAGATTACACCTTTAGCTATACATATGCTGGGTCCTATCAAAACAGCAGCATGAGTACTAAACCAAACTACCACCTTTAGCTATGGATGAACTGCCATGGTAAGACTCCTTTTTTCGTTTGCTCCTCCTCTTATTTTTTAGTCTAATTCACTGATGTCTCTCTTTCACGCCATTCCTCTTTTCCTTCTTTTTGTTTCCTTAATACCCCTCCCTGTAAAACTCTCTTCTTTCCTTTTCACTTTCTTTGCTTCCTACTATCTCTCTCTACTGTTTTTTCTCTCAATTTTTACCTTGAGAGCTCTTTTCCAGAATCTACTCACTGCCTCACCCTTTTTCTTTCTTTCCTTCTTTTTTTCTTGTAAACTCTCTTCTTTCCTTTTCACTTTCTTTTCTTCCTACTATCTCTCTCTACTGTGTTTTCTCTCAATTTTAACCTTGAGAGCTCTTTTCCAGGAACTACTCACTGCCTCGCCCTTTTTCTTTCTTTCCTTCCTTCTTTTTTTCTTGCAATCCCTTCTTCGAGGGGTCTTTTATAGGCGAAAGTAGCTATGGGCAAATGAATCTTTGGTTTGGCGAGATCATCACCATTGATCTCCAGAAAGACATCACCATTGTTTTTTTTGTAAACAATACCTGTTATTTGCCTGAGTTTAAAGACTGGGAGGAATGGGAGCAAAGTAAATGATCTGATGAAAAGAGTGGACTGTTCGTTATAGGGTGAGGGACGCGTGAGAGAGAGAACCTTTTGTCCAAAACATGCCCGAGAGCCATTAAAGCACCTCCAGTATAGCCATGCGGTGAGACAAAGAAATGCTGCCGCTTTTATTTCTCCCAACGGCGTCGTATAGACATTTCAAATATTTTTTGGTGAAACTCACGTCTTCACTTGAGATCTTTTTCTTTTTTTAGATTCAAATAAAACGAGGCCGTTGTTTTCCAAAGTTCAATTAGGGTTTAAATTTCCCTAATTCAAATTTAGTCTCTGATCTTATACATCTAGCAATTAAAACCTCAATTGGTCAAAACTTTAACAATCCTTTCAATTTAACCCTTGGAGTGTTCAATTGCATGTTCTCCCAAATTTCACGCGCTTTATATATTGGTCCTTGATCTCGTAATTATTCAAATTAGCCCTCGAATGACCCTTTAAACTTTCAAGTCTTACAATTTCACCCCTGATTAAGTCAATTATGCCTTCAAAGTTTAAGTGCCTATTCATTTTGGTCCTTACACCTTTAAATATTGCAACTTTGATCCTATTTGGCTACCAAACTCTATTTTTCTTTAATTAAACCCCTATTTAGATATTGGCAAAAAAAACAATAATTTGCGTGGGATCCAACACGATTGCTAAACACAAATATATATATATATATATATATATATAAAACCCATAAAATCAATTTAATATTTTGAAGAATTTAACACTATAACGTAATTAGCAATTACATTTTGAAGCTGTTCTTGGGTGGACATCGAGGTCTTCTAAATGCTCTACAAGTATCCTTTCCCTCTGTTTTACCAAACTTCTCCCAAAACAAGCAAAATAATTAATGCTCTTAAAAAAAGGAGAATGATTTCTACTAAATGATTACAAAAATAATAATTATTTTTATTTTATATTTTTTCATGTACTTTATATTAAAATATCATAAGTTAATTTTCGTTGCGAATAAAAAGGATTTCTATGTTATTAATATATCATACAAATATGATTTGCATAACATAAAAAAGATTAAAAACTAGAGATAAATTAAAATAATCTAAAATCAATCAATAGTATAAAAAATAAAACTAAGCCAAACAATTTAAAAAATAACATAGAAGAAATCAATCAATATTAAATAAAAAGAATCAATGAAAAGATTTTAAAAACACCAACAAAATACACACGAAAAGAAAAAGTAAGTGCTGGTGGATAGGCTAGGCACACGCAGTTGACATCTAATAAAAAATGCCCAGGCATACCTGGAAGCGTCCTGGAAGCCTAGGTCCTCTCTCTCTCTCTCTCTCTCTCTCTGTATATATATATCTACACACAGACGCAGAAATCGTTCTCTAGTATATATATATATATATAGACACACAGACGCATGAATCGTTCTCTGTTATTAATTCTCTACTTCAAGTACCAACTCCAAAAACATTCCCTGTTCATCATTTACAAGCTAACCCACTTTCTCTTTCTTCTACTCCTATAATTCCATAGACTCAGCAACTGTCTTAATACCCACAATCAAGAAATGGACTCGGACTTGGGAGATCCACCAAAGGAATATAGAGAAGGCTATGCATTAAGTGGCAAGATAATGCTAAGTGCTGTTGTTATTCTTTTCCTTGTTATCATTTTAATGGTTTGTCTGCACCTTTACGCTCGCTGGTACCTCATCCGCGCACGGCGGCGCCATATCCGCCATGCCCGCAACCGCCGTAACCATCTTGTATTCTACGTCGACTCTGCCCACAACCCTACCATTGTCACAACTGAAGTCACACGTGGCCTTGAAGAGACCGTCTTAAAATCGCTTCCTGTTTTTGTGTATTCAGAAAAAACCCACCAAGATTCGATGGAGTGTGCGGTTTGTTTATCCGATTTTCAAGAGAACGAGACGGGTCGGACCTTGCCTAAATGTAATCATAGTTTCCACATCGAGTGTATTGATATGTGGTTTCATTCTCACTCCACGTGTCCTCTCTGTCGCTCTCCGGTTGAGCCGGTGACGGAAAACCCGGTTCAAGAGGGTTCAGGTTACGGGATTTCTGTACCGGGTTCGAGTTCCAGTACGGGTTCCACGCGTCAGCATGAGGAGGATAGTGTGGGTTCGGCTTCTACGTCGTCATTTAATGACAGAAGGAAACGCGTGGAGCTTTTCGGGGTGACCATCGAAGTGCCTAGAAGAAATGGGAATTTTGAGGATGAGTCAAACACTGAGTCACCATCAGCGAGTCACGCGTTTAGATCGCCAATGAGTCGGATGCTGTCGTTTAAGAGGATGCTAAGTAGGGAAAGAAGAGGCACTGCGTCTCCTAACGTGGCTAGCTCTGTGAGTTGCGGTGGTGAGTCGGGGACGACTGAGATGGATATTGAACGAGGGCAGGATGAGTCGATGCCTCAGCAAACTCGGTGCTAAAATCAGCGGTGGATGATTAAAAAGCTACGTGGCGGTTGTCTCATGCAGAAAACAGGCGGCGATTTTCAGTCGCTTAAGTGGGGCAGCGTGTGGGCACTCGTTGGACGCCGCCTTGGGCTCAAACGTTTAGCTTTGACTTGTGTATAATGAAATGAATATCTTCTTATTATTTTTTCTCCTCCTTGATAATGTCTACTATGATTTTCATTTACAGAGATTTAGATAATGGTCGTTTTGTATTGGAAAGTGAATTTTTTGAGCATGTATTAGATTTAATTAATATATATATATATTTAAAATATGTTTTCCTAAGAAAAACCTAAAATGTCTTGATATGATAAATTTGTGATTTATATATATATTTCAATTAATTGTTTTTCCATTCAATACTATTTTTTCTTTAATTATTTTAAATACACATTCTTCACATCAATCTAGGGCATCAAGAAAAAAATTAATGAATGCCTCCCGACTTTAAATTCAAAAATTAAAAAAAAAAACACCATATCCTACCATTCTCTTAAAATTATTATTATTATTATTATAATAACATAACTTTAATTTCACACCTCAAAAATGAGGTTATAGATCGGAAATAATTGCTCATTACATTAAGTCACTAAAATATAATATTTATAAATTTTAACAATTTTAATACACGTAAATCTCATAATTTTGATATGCAACTAATTTGATTTATAAAATTCGAGAGTTGTATTTAATTTTATATGTAAAAAAGAGCTGGAAATAGAATAATTGGGACGAAATAGAATACAAGGTGAGGAGTAGGTGTCGAGTGGCCCAAACGAAGCATCTTTGTAGGGTAAGATGCCATTAAATTTCATAAAAACGAAACTCCTCCGATGTTGTTTGCACGATTGAAAAATTTCCTAGACTTTTAATGAAAATAATTGCTCAAGCCGGCTTCTGACAAGTGTTTTTTCACCCACACTGAATATATTTTAGTATCTTATTATGTACCAGACCGATTGATGTTGTGCCATTTTCTTGTCTGGGGACCACTCAATTTAAAATTATAATTATAATGGACGGATGAACGAGCTCCATGCTAAAGTGTAGAGGTGAGTAAAGAAATTAAAAAAAATTATTAAACAAAAAGATTAAAAAATATAATAAAAAAACTAAATGATAAAAAAAATCAATTAAATTAATTAAAATTTTAAAAAACCAACCAATTTGATTTTAGTTTTATAAATTTAAAACTAAAAAACTGAATCAAACTAAATTCAAATCTAAAAAAAATCAAGTTAAATTAAAAAAGATTGAACCAAACTAAAAAAACGGTTTAAACTAGTTTTGGTGTAAAATAATAAAATTAAAACTAATCAATTTAAATTAATTTTAATTTAAAAAACCAATTTAATTATATTTTTATTAAAAATTACATCAAATTAAAAATAATCACCCTCATTAAAAGTTTTTTTTTTCTGTAAGAACTCATGATTTATGCTAGGTAAACATTTGTGAGTTCGGAACTTTATCAAATTCAATTATTTTAAACTAGTCAATGTGTCAAATTTAAAGTCCATGAATCTCTTCACAGTAAAGTTTTTATTTTTAAAGAATAAATGCTCAAAAAAATATCTAGAGTTATTATCATTTTACTTCCTAACCGGTTAAAAAATCATTTAAAAATTATTTTTATATCAAATCAAATCAAAATTAATATTTTAATAGGATTAAACCTAGATTTTATTAGAAATATTAAAATTATTTTGTTTTGTTTTGTTTTTTATTTAAACTGGATTAATTTAGATTATAATTATCAAGTTGATACATTAGATGAATCCAGATTTTCAAACAAAGTTTATAAACGGGAATCATGCTAGGGTATAGTTGGATTTTGGAGGAAGAAGCCGGAACTCTCTTTCAAATTTCTATTCGATTGTCATCCAATGCCAAGTAAGATAAAATGTCCATTGCATGCAGGAACACACAATGGATATATATATCTTCTATCCTCTTAAACAGTAACTAAACGCTATCTAAGTCGGATTGAAACCATGTCCATTTCACTGCGCCAGCAGAAGAAGGAAGAGTTATGAAGGATTTCACTGCACTGTGTGTGTGTTTTTCCTTGATGGTACTGTGCTGGAGAGGATTTGCGACTCGATCCCATGTCTTTTTCCTGTTGTTTACGCGCTTTCACTCAGCCCCAGGCACACTGTTTGATTTGCACTGTCCCATTCAAAGCAGTAAAATAGCTCAAGGTGCCATCTTTGGAAGCCTTCTCCTCCTTTCCTCGATGTTTCATTCTAGCTGATGTCATTGAAGATGACATGATGAATCATGAGTCTCTCTAGCATGGTTTCTTGAATATCATGACATTATTTCTTCTTTCTTCTTTTTTGCGTGTCTTACACTGTAAATTGTGAGCATTTTATTTTATAAATTTTTTTAAAATGTACATATAAATTTGGATGATGATCTGTTTAGAAAGGAATTATAAAACGAATGTATGGTATAAAGAGAAACAAGGGAATGGTGGCTGGGTAAGAATAGTATGATTACTGTTAAAGTATTTTTTATTTAAAAAATTATTTTTAATATTAGTAGGATAAAATGATTTAAATTATTAATTTAAAATAAAATAATAAAATAATTTTAAAATTTTTTAAAAATAGTTTTATAATGCAAATGTTGATGGAGGGATCCAAGATGCGCAACGCCAATAGGCAAATAACACGCCATCTCTGTTCCTCCACAGAGGTCCACACGCTTTCGCAACTTTTGCCTTGGGCTTCGAGGTATGTTCAAACAAGGGAGCAAGTCAGAATTATTGTGTTGGGTATGCTGAATGCATTTACATGGATGCTCTTCACACGTCTTAGTAGACACCCACCACCAAATCCCAAGATGCAATTTCGTCTTTTTCTCGGAGTGTCTATAGCCAATCTTCATTCAAGTTGGTTAGATATTCTTCCTTCAAAATATATAAAAATAATATTTTTTAAAAAAATATACATCAAAACCAAAAACATAAAAAAAAAATTAAAAATAATTATTATTCTTCAAAGGTATGCTACAACCATAAAGTATCAAACATCATATATAAAAATAATATTTAAAAAAAAAATATACATCAAAACCAAAAACATAAAAAAACAAATAATTATTATTCTTCAAAGGTATGGTACAACCATGGATCCTGAAGTTAACGACCATGTAAGCCTGTATCAAACACCATCTTAATGTTATTAAACATGGTTTTTTGGGTTAACAAATAGGTGACTTGATCAATTAAATAAAAATTATTTTAATAAAAAGTAAAATAATATTATCTAGATTGAATCAAATTAATATTAATTATCTCTTTCAGGTAGAAAATCCAGTTTGATAACCTTGGGCTATCTATAGGAAATTGGAGGAGGGAGAGTGGGCAAGCAACATTATTAAGTATTAGTTAATTAGTTGTTTGAAAATCATGGTTATTTCGAATCATGAGAACTTTGAGGATCCTTCCTTAGTCGACTGAAACGAGTGATATTTGTGACGACTTTTTCTTAGTGATTATCTTTCATTACCATAAAGTCAAGTAATCAACGAGTTTTTTCACTTAATTCTTATCTGACAGCAAATAAAATCGGTTCGGATGATGGTTGCTTGACAAAGAAATACCCACTACTTTGACTAATTAAATAGACTGGTGTTATTTCCCCTACAGTAGTTTTTTTTAATTATGATTAATATATTCATATTAAAATTCTCTAAATTCCTTTAAAAATATAAAAAAACAATAATAATAGAAGATTATTAGCAAAAAAAAAAAACCTATATTTGAAGGATTTTATTTTCAATTTGTTGGCTTTAAACTTCATAGCACTTTACTAGTTTACTAGATTGTACAATGTTGCCGTTCCAATCCAAAAATATTCAACATGAAATAATATTCAAATTATAAAAAATTATTTGATATTATTATTAAATCTAACATATTAAGTTAATCTTAAAACCTCTTTACCTGATTTTTTATATAACTTGGATTCTAAATTAAATTGTGTAATTATCTAGATATAATTTAGTTAATTTGGTGAGTTCAAATGCAATTCTTTTTAAATATTAAAATGAGAATATAATGAATTTATTTAGATTTCATAACTTAATTAACAAATCTACAACCCTAGTCATTGATTTTATTAAAATTAATAACTCTATTTTATTTTGCATTTTATGAGGTTATCGTGGTCTTAAATAAACATTCTAGTTTTTTATTAATATTTTATTTTTTAAATATTTATTTTAAAATCAATTATATATATATATATATATATATATATATATATATAAAGACCACTAGCAATGTTCATTTAAATAGTGTAAGCAAGTGATTTAAATTCAACTCTTTTAATATTTTTAGTAATAATACATATTTTCTTAAATAACAGTATCTAACTTCGAAATATAAAGTGTTATATACAATTACAATATTATATTTTTTTTTTATTTCGTGATATGTACCTTCATCAATGAAGTCACTAAATCATTAAGACAATACTAAATTAATAGTAATTGTTGTAGGAGATGTCTCAGTAAATTAAAGGTTAAAAAAAAGAGAAAACAATCATTCATTATCTAATTTTATAATAATTATAAAACCCTAATTAATCAATTAAAAAATATTATGTAAGGAAGTGATTATGCTAAGTAAAAAATAAAAATCACTTTAAAACAACTTACTTAGAAATAAATTGCTTCATACTTGTATTTTTATGATAAACTATACTCATGATGCTTATATACTAAGTCTTTATTTAAATATATGCATACATTTATGGTGAAGGACAAGTAAAACTTAAGATAATAATTTTGGATCTAGGCCCAATTCTTACATTTAGAATAATAGCATTGAACTTATAAGTAATAAATAATTTTTTAATTTATGTTTTTTTTGTTATGTCTAAAATACTACTATAAAACTTGTTAGTTTATTTTTTATTTAGTTTCATTTTTTATGTTTAAACATATTAGAGGATGCTTTAGGCTTTAAAATATGTTCAGTAAGTATTTTTGGATGTTTTCAACGTGTTTTTAGATAAAAAAAAGTTAAAAATAGATTTTAATAATCAAAATATCTGAATTTTTTTATCTTTAAAAATGACTAAAAACAATAGAAATAAATAACTCATTATCTACTAAGCCAGATAATATATCATTCATTTAAATAAATAATAATAAAAAGAAACAGATGCATCGTTCACTTTTCAAAAAATAACCTAGT